TTATTTTAATTGGAGGCTAATTACTTTACAATATTGTAGTGGTTTTTGCCGTACATTGACATGAATCAGCCATGGGTGCACATGTGTTCCCCATCCTGATCCCCCCTCCCACCTCCCTCCCCATCCCATCCCTCAGAGTCATCCCAGTGCCCCAGCCCTGAGCAGCCTGTCTCATGCATCCAACCTGGACTGGCAATCTGTTTCACATATGATCATATACATGTTTCAATGCTATTCTCTCAAATCATCCCACGCTCGCCTTCTCCCACAGAGTCCAAGAATCTGTTCTTTACATCTGTATCTTTTTTGCTGTCTTGCATATAGGGTCATCATTACCATCTTTCTAAATTCCATATATATATATGTTAATATACCATATTGGTGTTTTTCTTTCTGACTTACTTCACTCTGTATAACAGGCTCCAGTTTTACCCACCTCATTAGAACTGATTCAAATGCATTCTTTTTAATGGCTGAGTGATATTCCATTGTGTATATGTACCACAGCTTTCTCATCCATTCATCTGCCGATGGACACAAGAGATTTATATGGGCTTCCCAGGTGGCGCTAGTGGTAAAGAATCCGCTTGCCAATGCAGGAGACACACGAGACACGGGTTTGGTTTGGTCCATGAGTCAGGAAGATCCCCTGAAGTAGAAAATGGTGACACACTCCAGTATTCTTGCTTGGAAAATACCATGGACAAAGAAGCTTGGCGGCTACACCCCATGGGGGTCACAAAGAGTCAGACACAACTGAGTGACTGAACACACACATATTATCTACCAGACAAAATTTATTTATATTGTATTAACAGGAATCACTTACATAGCTATGGATAGGAAACATTTGCATGTTACATGTTACCTCTCTTTCTCTACTGAATTGGAAAATAGTCTAGTCAAAGACAATGAAAGCAGAAGTAACCAGAATTGATGAGCTAAATTTCATCCACTAAATTTCAGACTTTCTTACACTAGAGTAAAATCGAAACAACTTGTAATCTTTCTAGTCAGGGATAACCTACATACACAAATTTTTGACATACTTTTTAATATTGTATGAGAATTATCTTAAATCTGTAGCAAAACTTAACTGCTTCCACGTTGAGTATAGATTTCCCTTTGTACCAGAAAGCATTGCTCACATTCCTGATTATTTCCTTAGCATACTTTCTTAGATGAAATACTAGATCAAAAGATACAGCCATTTAAAGACTCTTTATACATATTGCCAAGTGCTATAGGAATACTTTGAAGCACATACCTGGGTAAGGAAAGGGAGAAAGGAAAAACCTTTCCAGATTACCTGCCCATAGACTTCAGGGGTAAAATGTATGCTTGCAGTTTTGCAACTACCCACTGTCGGCCTTCTTTTTCTTTTTTTTTTTTTTTGCTTTTGGACTTCACCAGGATTGAGCAAAAACTCAGTCATCGACTGAGGAAAAAGCGTGGGTTGGTACAGCAAACCACAAAAATCTCCAGTTTAAACACAAATCCAAGATTACAAGAGATCTCCCTACATTGGTGGCTTCATCTGTATTAGGTTATAAATCCCTTGAGGGAGTTTCCAGAACTCAAACCCCACTTCCTCCATATGACTTCCTGTGTTCACATGTGTTTTCTGATCTGTTTTGCCGGTCAGGATTTAAAATATTCTGTAAGCTACATGTATCTAACCATGAGAACTAAATTATTCAATTATGCAATAGTGTTTATCAATTGCCTTCTAATTGATGTGCTAGTTCTGAGGTAAGTAGTAAGCAAAACAGACTTATTCCTGCCCTGTGAGTACCCAAAGTATGTTTGTGCTATGCTGTGCTAAGTCTCTTCAGATATGTCCAACTCTTTGCAACCTTATGGATTGCAGCCCTCCAGACTCCTCCGTCCATGGTATTCTCCAGGCAAGAATACTGGAGTGGGTTTCCATGACCTTCTCCCCAGGATCTTCCTGACCCAGGGATCGAACCCATGTCTCTTACATCTCCTGCATGGAAGGCAGGTTCTTTACTAGTAGTGCCACAGCCAGTATGTAATAAGTAAAATATAACCACATACATAGAATCAACGTCATGCATTCTCAGTTCAGTCGCTCAGTCGTGTCCGACTCTTGCGACCCCATGGACTGCAGCATGCCAGGCCTCCCTGTCCATCACCAACTCCTGGAGTTTACTCAAACTCATGTCCACTGAGTCGGTGATGCCATCCAACCATCTCATCCTCTGTTGTCCCCTTCTCCTCCTGCCTTCAATCTTTCCCAGCATCAGAGTCTTTTCAAATGAGTCAGTTCTTCACATCAGGTGGCCAAAGTATTGGAGTTTCAGCTTCAGCATCAGTCTTTCCAATAAGTATTCAGGACTGATTTCCTTTAGGATGGACTGGTTGGATCTCCTTGCAGTCCAAGGGACTCTCAAGAGTCTTCTTCAACACCACAGTTCAAAAGCATCAATTCTTCGGTCCTCAACTTTCTTTATAGTCCAACTCTCACATCCATCCGTGACTACTGGAAAAACCATAGCTTTGACTAGATGGACCTTTGTTGGCAAAGTAATGTCTCTGCTTTTTAATATGCTGTCTAGCTTGGTCATAACTTTTCTTCCAAGTAGTAAGCATCTTTTAATTTCATGGCTACAGTCACCATCTGCAGTGATTTTGGAGTCCAAAAAAATAAAGTCTGTCACTGTTTCCACTGTTTCCCCATCATGCATTTTAATGTCAGGCTATTTATTTTTTGGTGTTGTATTTGTTGACTGCTCCCAAAAGATAGATCTTCTCTTTCCAACTAGATAAGATGCTCCTTGAAGGTAGGACTATGTCTTCACTTCGCTAACATCTTCCAAATTATTGTGCACTTAATAGGCACCTAGTAGAGAGCAACTCCAGTAGAGAGCAACTCCAGTAGATGGTAAAGGACAGGGAAGCCTGGTGTGCTGCAGTCCATGAGGTTGCAAAGAGTCGGACATGACTGAGCAACCGGACAACAGAGAACAACTAAAGTGGGCTTCATGTCTGCGTGAACCAAGCAAGCTCTTCCTTCCAGCTCCTCAATTATTCTTATAATCTCTATGGGGATAAATAACAAATGACTGGGAAACATGATGTAACTTATTATGTAAGTGTTGTTTTACATTTTGTCTTCACCAATAGGTGGCATCATCAATTTTGAAATTACATTTTCTATTTTGTAGCCCCAAATTTTAAGTATGCAGTTCATTCGATAAATGTTTATTGGGCATCTTCTATATGGAAGCTGCCCTGCTGGCTACCACTAACAGAATGAAAAATAAAAATACTGCAGATATGCTTTAACCTATTCCTTTCCTAGTATACCCTAAAGGACATTCCACTTTCAGATATCATCCTTGTTTTACAAAATAACATCTAAATCTGGGATAACAACTCAAAAATGACAATTTTACCTATGTTTGTGTATTTTCTTTTGTGTGTATTTTCAACTTAACCTAATATCTTATTTTGAATAGAGGAGAGGGATGTTAATTTAAATAAAATGTAAATCAGAAAAATATGGATTGAGTGCGGGAGTTGGGGGGGGGTCAATCTGTAGAATTTAATCCAAGCTGACTTTTTAACTGACACAATTTACCACTCCTCAGTGAAAGGAACTTTATTTCCTTTTGGAAGATAAGAGAAGCATGATCCAGGCATAACAGAACCATTTCTACAGCTTCCAAGCCTGCACAGTCCCATCTGGAGATAATAAAAGATCCCATTCCTCTGTGTTTATTTCAAAAGATTCATTCTCTGGAATGATCTGAGGTTGCAAACTGTAGCACATTTGCCAGCTAAAATGGGCTGCTGCCTCCATGTTACTCAGGAGGTGTCTAGTCCCCAGGAAAGTGGGGACTTTCTAAACTCTCCTTAGAGTGGAAAGAAGCCCCTCTGCCCTTCCCAACAATATTGCCTTCTCCACAGTCAATGTGGGAAGGAAGGAAAGGAGAAGGAGAAACAGGGAAGAGGAGCAGTGGGGAAATAAAATTTCAGTATTTGCATTAAATACCATCTATCAGTCACTAATTTATCCACCTACTGCTGAGAGGAAAGTGATATTTGACCAAATGTGAGCTTCTTTTTACTGAGCATCTTTAAAGGGCAATGAATGGCATTACTTTGGGAGGTACAAAGATGGGGCATAGAAAGATTTTTGCCATCCAGAAGCTCCCAGTCTAGTAACCACAATACTCTCTTGTGTAGTAGTGGTTAGAAGTATGGGCTCTCAGCTTTATTCATTTGAACCCTGACTCCACCATGTACATATTCTTGCATAAATTATTTAACCTCTTCATGTTTCAGTTTCCTAACCTGCAAAATGGGGATAAAATAAATTAGGAATATAAAATGAAATAATATAATATATTATTATAATTATATAATAATTAATATAATAATATTATATTATAATATAATATAAAATGAAATAATGCATTAAGATTATAACAAAGGATGTTTGTTGTTACTAATACCAGTAACATTAATACACAAAGGAAATGTTCAGTGTCATAAGAGAGGTCTGTGTAAAGAGCTATGAAAACTCAGGCGATAAAGCAGCAACTTCTTAGAAGGGCAGGGCAGAGCAAAACACTCACTGTTGGTGTGGAAAAAAAAAAAATGGACCCCAAATGGAATCACTTGTGTTAAGCCATGTCACGGATCAAGACTTAATACATAACCCTAATTGCCGTCTCAACCTCCCCCAGGAATATAGTCTAAACTGTTCAGTCTAGAATTTTCTGGTCAGCACTAGTGAGGTAATCTGCCTTAGAGACCCCTTCCATCCTCTAAGAGAAAGATCTGATCTTGCCTTGTCCTGCCCACTTCTGCTTATAAAAGCCCTTCATTGTGTATAGCACCTTTATATATGCTACATAGGATGCTACCAATTCATGGGTCATTGAACAAAGTCAGTAAGACCTACAAAACTTAGTTGAATTTTGTCTTTTAACAGATTTGGTGGCAGCAGTGGGATTTGAAGTGAACTTCCGATGGCTTCAGGAACAACAGGGGACAGAGGCATGGTACTCCACAAACCCGTTGAGTTTTCTGTCTTCTTCGTCATCTCCGAAGGTCATCAGTAAGTTCCTCTTGGTTGCTTTCGGTTTCTTTGGATAAAGCTCCTGATTTAATTAACTTTCCAGTCCAGGGCAGGTCAGTTTAAACTAGCAGACAGTTTCACCCAGAACCTAGGCCTTGGTTCAGTTTTCAACTCCTCATTTGTTTGGGAATCTTAGCCCTTGGTTTTGTGACCACATTCCACGCTAGGAACTGTTGGCAGTTTAATTTGCAGTTCCCCGTTTCTTTGAAATCAGTTTGCAATCCCCATTCTTTGAGGCCTTTTATTTCAATTCTCTCCGCAGCCCCAACGCCACACTGGGAATGGCTGGCCGCGTGCACAGCGCCGTCTATTGGCCAGTCTGCAGTAACGTTTCTTTGGTTACTGCTTGGTATACTAAGGCGCGCACATTTGTTTTTTTTTTTTCCATTTATTTTTATTAGTTGGAGGCTAATTACTTTACATCATTGCAGTGGTTTTTGTCATACATTGAAATGAATTAGCCATGGATTTACATGTATTCCCCATCCCGGTCCCCCCTCCCACCTCCCTCTCCACCTGATCCCTCTGGGTCTTCCCAGTGCACCAGGCCCGAGCACTTGTCTCATGCACCCAACCTGGGCTGGTGATCTGTTTCACCCTAGATAATATACATGTTTCGATGCTGTTCTCTTGAAACATCCTACACTCGCCTTCTCCCACAGAGTCCACAAGTCTGTTCTATACATCTGAGTCTCTTTTTCTGTTTTGCATATAGGGTTATCATTACCATCTTTCTAAATTCCATATATATGTGTTAGTATACTGTAATGGTCTTTATCTTTCTGGCTTACTTCGCTCTGTATAATGGGCTCCAGTTTCATCCATCTCATTAGAACTGATTCAAATGAATTCTTTTTAATGGCTGAGTAATATTCCATGGTGTATATGTACCACAGCTTCCTCATCCATTCATCTTGTTTTATGTGAAAGGCTATTGCTGATAAAAATCTTAGAAGCATAAAATGGGAGAGCATCAATTAAACACTTAAAAGCTGTTAGAGCCCTTCTCACCAAATTCTGCATCTCCGATTTTAGGATAAGTTCACCACAGACTGTGTAGACTGAGACTCGGTCACCAGAAAACCTCAAGAACATTGTTATGCAATGAAGGACACTGTGAAACACCATACAGTTCCCTCCTAAGCAGCACATCCCTTTTTAGTATTATTTTGACTCCAAAAGCTAGCTCAATAAATACATAAATAAAAAATTTAAAGTAATCATTGTTTTTTAAAATAATAAAATTAAAAGTTAATTGCTAACTCAAATTCTAAAGCATTAAGCACACCACCTTTCAGCACACCTGCTTATTTTATGGCTAAGACCTATGGACCTGGAAGCTGTAGATATTTACAAAAATGGCAAAATCTTACCAAAAACAAGCTAGGATTCCAGTGGCCATAATGGGAAATGTTCCAGTTAGATAAGATCATTCATTTAAGAAGTACACTTGAAAGCTAGGATTGCCAAATTAAATATAATGAGACAACCTATTTTAACTGATATGCAGGGGCCTCCAAAAGCCTTCACAATTCCAAAGTAGCTTCACTGAAAGATTCATTGGAAAGGCCAATAAAAAATAAAAGACACGAGAGGTCCTAAAGTAAAAGATAGTATGAGTAACATGGCTCCTACTGCTCCTTTCTATTTTCATTTACCTGAGTATTCACATTCCACTAATTCTCTATCTGAACTGCCTTTCCACTCTTGTTTTTTTAATTGGAGGATAATTGTTTTACAGTGTTGTGTTGGTTTATGCTGTACAACAGTATGAATCAGCTTAAGTCTACATATCCACGGTGAGCATATCCATCCCTCCCTCTTGAGCAACCACAACCCCACCCCCTGCCTTTCCATTCTAAAGAGGTTATTAAGCAGTTTAAAATAAAACCTCCCAGGGTTGTAGGCAATTCTTCTCCTGTATCAGTCAAACACTGAATGAGGGGCAGTACTTAAAGAATTTCCTTAACCCAGAGAGGATATAAAAAGAAACCATTTCAAAAGTCTTGAAGAATTTAGAGTCCCTGGTTTGACAGATCTTTATCAGCTTGTGCACATGCTGGTAGAATCTGAGGAAGCACAAAAATGAAGGAAGCAAAATGCAAAATCCTGAGGATGATAATTTGAGATCCTCAATCTTCAACATGGTCTCCAGTGGAGCAGAAAATGCTCTCAAAGTAGAAACTGATCTTTTGAGAGCCAATCCTAGAGTCTTCCCTGGTCTGTTATTCAAACATGCAACCAAAAAAAGAAAAAAGATGAGTCTATGGCTGACTTTAGAGCTCATCTGGAAGCTCTCCTCCTACAGGTTTCTGGGTTTCATTCAAGGGATGAAGTCACCCAACTTGCTCTAGCTACACTATTTGTAAATAGGTTATGTTCTGAGGTTAGTGGATTAATAAAAAGACCAAAACAAACAAACCAAAAAAATGGGACGGGAGGTAGCTCTGAGTTTGACTGAACTCATGACTGTAGCTAAACACTTTAAAAGGACTTTGGAACAAAATTGTAAACAAAAATCCACTAAGCTGTTGGCTTTAAAGTCATAACAGCTCCAGGGTCAGTCACCTGAAATAATGTCAGTCACCTAAAATAATGCCTGGGCCCCTACGTCACAGTCTTCTTGGAGCCCATCATTAAAATGCTAACTCATGGGTAGATGTCTCACTTGTAAGCAACGGGGACCCTGGAAAAGAAAATGTCCTCAAACAAGCCTCTGCATAATATTCAGCTGATTTGTAGATATGAATGTCCTTATATCGACCCTCAAAGGAGGGTCCCTGTATGGGTCCCTCCCAGAGTTGATGAGACTCCAAGGGCTTTTCTGGTGAATTGTTACGTTATTCCCTTAAACAGCCAAGGAAAACTAAAATTAATGGAAAACCTTGCCAAATTCTTGTGGATACTGAATCTACACTTTCTACTTTAAACCCCTCTCAAAGCCTGCAGATGTGGTCCTGAAAAGACTGAGAATTCTAACCAGAGTCAGCACTCCCAGATCTGTCTGCAGTGCCCAATAAAGAGAAAAATAAAATGTCTTTTGCATTTTCTTTGGAGATAACAAAGGAGTTGTTCAGCACTTCCAGCAATATTTACTGTTTGTCCTGGATGAAAATGGACAAGATATTTAGAAGGATTTTTAAGTAGCTCTGTGGACAGAAATTGGCCAGGCTAAAAGCTGACATTCAGACCCTGATAGGAATTTTTCTAGGCCTCCTCCACTAAGCTAAAATAAAACTATGTACACAAAGTAAAAGAAAACCTTCTAAAAACGGGCGGAGTGACCTGTGATGTCATTTAAGTTGCAGCCCTTTCCCTTAGGAGTTAAAAACAACTGTCATTTTCTTATGAATCTTGGCAAAACCAGAAATGCTCCAGGAACTCTTAGTTAGATCATTTCTTTAAAATATCAACTTCAGGGAAGTGATTCTCATTAAAACAAACTAACAAACGAACAAAAAGAAGTGGAAGTGGTGGTCATTTTGAACTTCGACGAATGAAAAATCTCTTACATGTCTTCTCTACAAATATGAGTAAATAGTTCTAGCCATCTAACAGATAAGCTTAACTTATTTCATCTATCAGAAAGCATTGATCCAACTGCTTTTATAACTAGTGAGTTTTGTGTTATTACCTGTTCCATGGCAGTAATTTTAAAACAGAAGCTGTAAGATCTCTGTTTTCATCTGTTTATATGTTTGTGTGTGTGTGTAATAGATGTGTAGTATTTTCCACCTTTGGATGGTAGAACCAAAATTAATTTGTAAAAGTACTCTACTTGGCTTGAAGAGAATTAAGCACTTATATGAATTAAGGATTCCTAAAACTCAAAAATATAATGGAAACTAACCCAAATGCTTTTCAAATTCACATGATCTGAGATAATCTTTGGTAAATAAAAACTAGTTTAAGTTTGTTGGGTTAATTAAAATAGGTATGTCTTCAGAATTATCAGCATTAAAAAAATGCAGGCATACTTTATTCCATTAAAGTTCGAACTTGTTGGCCAATCATATACTTGGGTTTCTTGGTCAAATAAGTTCATGTAGTCTTTCTTACACAGTTTGTCAGCAAGAAAAATAACTTGGGATGATGGCTGACTTTGTCTAATATCTCATGAAATTTTTGTGGGTTGTCTAAACATAATCACTGAAAATAAGTGAATTTAATAGATATAAACAGGATAAAAGATTTTAGGTGAACTTTTAAACTAGTTTCCACAAATCTTTTTGGTATACTGAAACCTTAAAGTTTTGCTAAATTAAATTAAATGATGGACAGTCATTGTGTACCTAGATCACTCCCAAATGAGATAAAATACTAAAACATTAATTACTAAACACAAGCCTTTTTACTTTTGCTTCCTTTCCCAGAGGAACTAAAGATACTTGGATTTATTAGTAAACATGTTTCATGTCACAATGAAAAATTTACTATGAGAAAGCATATGTTTCTAGAAATCATAGAAAAGTATCCATAAATTTGTCAAAGCACAGAATGCTAATATAACAGTTCACAATTGTTTTTTTGTGTGTGTGTGCACACACGTGTGTGTGCTAAATCGCTTCAGTGCAACCCTAAGAACTCCAGCCTGCCAGACTCCTCTGCCCATGGGATTCTACAGGCAAGAGTACTGGAATGGTTTGCTTTGCCCTCTTCCAGGGGATCTTCCCGACCCAGAGATTGAACCTGCATCTCTTATGTCTCCTGCATTGGCAGGCGGTTCTTTACTACTAGCACCACCTGGGAAGCCTATATATACAATTAAAGCTACTAGTGACAGATTTTATTCTCTTGAGCTCCAAAATCACTGTAGATAAGACACTTGCTCCTTGGAAGAAAAACTATGACAAACCTAGACAGCATATTAAAAAAAAAGCCACATCACTTTGCCAACAAATGTCCATATAGTCAAAGCTATGGTTGTTCCAGAAGTTATGTACAGACATGAGAGTTGGACAGTAAAGAAAGTTGAAAGCCAAAGAATTGATGCTTCGAACTGTGGTGCTGGAGAAGACTCTTCAGAGTCCCTTGGACAGCAAGGAGATCAAATCAGTCAATCCTAAAGGAAATCAACCCTGAATATTCACTGAAAGGACTGATGCTGAAGTTGAAGCTCCAATACTTTGACCACCTGACACAAAGAGCCGACTCAGTGGAAAAGACCTTGATGCTGGGAAAGATTGAAAGCAAAAGGAGAAGAAAGTGGCAGAGGATGAGATAGATAGCATCACTGACTCAATGGGCATAAGTTTGAACAAACTCTGGGAGATAGTGAAGGACAGAGGAGCCTGGAGTGCTGCAGTCCATGGGGTTGGAAAGAGTCAGACATGACTTAGTAACTGAACGATAACAACAAAAGCTACTAGAAATAATAAGGGAAACATCTTCATATGCAAGGAAAGTAGGAAACATGTTTTCTATAAAAGAAGGTATAAGGAATGGAGGTGCATTTATGTTGAGGAAAAAGAAAGGAACATTGTCCTGATTAGAGACTAGTTATTTCACAATGGGAAAGAGAAAAAATGCAGAACAAATTGTAGGTTTGTGGGAGAAGAATCTTGGGAAAAGAATTTTAAGTGTGGTCAGGCTGGCTAAGATCAAAATGAATTTATTTAAGTCAATGAGTTTTAATATCAAAGGTAAGGTGGTACAATATTAAAATTTGGTTTTCTCACTCTTGAAAGGACAGGTTGTTTTGGATTATTAGTCTGCTCTTAGTAAGACATTGTAAACAAAAGTTTTTCTTTATCTTTTAAGTGGTCTGCCTAGAAAACAGAGATTCTATGTTTTATCAAAATAATTTCCTGTGTTTGTTGTTTTTTATCAGGTCTTTGATTACTTGAGTAAATCTTGTCTTCTTGCTATCAAAAAAGCAAAGTTTTGCTCAGAACTATGTACCTTCCTGAATTTGCATTCAAAGTCTTTGTTGCTATGGTAAAATGGCTCTTATTTCAGTGACCTATGATCCTTTTATGACCAATTGTTTTAAAATCTTTTTATATTTGTTTACAAACTTCCCCAAGTCAAATTCTAAATAAAGTGTTTTGATTTATAACTAACTTTAGGATTTCCTGGGGTGGGCGGGGGGTGTCTCTGGGACTCTTTGTGACCCCATGCTGTGTTGTGCAAAGTAGCCCAGTTGTTTCCACTCTTTGCAACCCCACAGACTGTAGCCCGCCAGGCTCCTCTGTCCATAGGGATTCCCCAGGCAAGAATACTGGAGTGGGCTGCCGTGCCCTCCTCCAGGGGCTCTTCCCAATGCAGTGATCAAACCCAGGTCTCCTGCATTGCAGGCACATTCTTTACCATGTGAGTCTCCAGGGAAGCCCAAGAATACTGGAGTGGGTAGCCTATCCCTTCTTCAGGGCAACTTCCCAACCCAGGAATCAAACCAGGAGCTCCTGCATTGCAGGTGGATTCTTTACCAGTTGAGCTACCAGGAAAGCCCTGTGACCCGATAAGTTAAACTAATTAGGCTTATTTGATATGTTTAATTACATGGGAGAGTGAAAGTGTTAGTCATTCAGTCGTGTCCAACCCATGGGGTTGGGGTCTTAACGACCCCATGGACTATAGCTCACCAGATTCCTCTGTCCATGGGATTTTCCAGGTAAAAATATTGGAGTGGGTTACCAAACCCTTCTCTAGGAGATCGTCCCTACCCAGGGATTGAACCTGGGTCTCCAGCATTGCAGACAGATTCTTTACTATCTGAGCCATCAAGGAAGTCCAATTACATAGGAAGCATTGTCAAATAAGAATATTAAACTTTCTTTATATTGTATTTCTATATGTTTGTATGTGTTCCTGAAATTAAGCTAAATTCCTGGAAATGTGATAGGTTCTGGTCTAATGTAATCAGTCACAATTATATCTTAAAATGTATATGTCACAGAAATAACTGAATTTCCTTGTCAATAACATTGTAATGAATTTTCATCAGATCTTTTTATCTGTTTTTAAAATGATTTTTAACCATGCCCATTTTAAAGTCCTTTACCATTTACAGAGTTATGGTTTTACTGTGATGCTTTTGCAAAAATGTTCTTGCAAAAGTACTTCATCTTAAAGGAGATTCATGAAAAGGACTTTAACAAGTACAGGTTTCTATTAACTTGAAGATCATAAAACTGAACTGAGTGAGAACTCCGGAACTAATGGAAAAACTGGATTCAAGCAAAACAAGTGTTAATTACATGGAACTGAATGAACTGAGGAAGATGATTATAATTTTTTTAGGACTTTTTGTTTGAAACATTGGTTCCTTAATGTTTCATTTTTCCAGATTTAAGGAAATCTTTCCTCTTCATCTGAACATGACATTCAGCAATTTGGTAAAAGATACCTTTGTAAACACAGATGAAGCGTTTACTTTTTCTCCCTATCTGATCCCTTCCATAATTAGAAAATCCTTGAGTATTGTTCCTTGACAATAGAGTTAGTTATTTGCATAAGTTCAGTATGAATCTGTTCTCCTGGTAAGAGAACACAATTGGAAACATTGGCTATATTACCAAGGCTTTGACCGGAATGTCATATTTGAGAGAGATACACATGGACTCAGATTTGTCCAAAGCTTACATGGTCAGTCATTGTTCTCACTGCACTTACAGGCCAAGTTTAATGCAAACAAATTAGTTTTACTGTGATTATCTGTTTTTAATGGGGGAACTTGTAGAGAGAAAAATTATATTTGTAGCTATTAGATTCTAGTTCTGTTAACTATCTTTAGGCATATAAACTAGTCTGGATTCTAAACTCTTGTAGTTACCTCAAGTATCTTGCTACATTTCCAATTTTCTTCCCCTTTTCTGATTTGGAATCACTGAGAACATAGAATGCTCTTGAATCTCCTTGGAAGAGACTATACCAGATCTTCCTAACTACAGCCAGACTTCAGGGATTTAAACCTTAGGAAGGCATCTCACTGCTGAAGAAATCTTCAGTTGTGAGATCTTTAAGTCAAATTGACTGGGGAGAGAGGTAGGCAGCTTGGCAGTAGCTTGATTTCCTCTCAAGGTGCTTGATCAAGACTTCATACCTTAACATGAAACTCTTTCTTCTTCTTTTCCTTACGCTGGCATTTGCCTGGAAAGATAACAGGATTGTCCACATCTCCTGGGCCACTGCTAAGGAGGGTATCTAGAATTTGGAACAACTTTTTATTTCAGACTAGGAGATTTAGTTCCTGAATGCACTGGAAATGGAACTGACCCCTGGCTTGAATGGGTAAGTGAAACAACGTCTGCAAATGAATCCATTAACAGTTCCACTTTAGGGAAAGTGGTTTGGGCCCCCAAAAGATTTATCTTTGTCTGTATTGGTTATCATTCTCCTTCAGCCTATGGACGCCTAGATGGCTAGCATGTAACTGGGAAAATGCCTCCTAGGTTATCTAATTGTGCATCGTGTGTGTGCTCAGTTGTGTCTGACCCCTTGTGACCCCATGGAAGGTAGCCTGCCAGGCTCCTCTGTCCATGAAATTTTCCAGGCAAGAATACTGGAGCAGGTTGGCACTCCCTACTCCAGGGGATCGAACCCAGGTCTCCTACTTTAGCGGGCGGATTCTTTACCACTGATCCACCTGGGAAGCCCTAGGTTATTTAACCATGCCTCTGACTGTCCACAGTTAAACTGAGACACCTCACCAGTCAACTCCCCTGAATTTTACATTCTCAGATTAGAAAGGGCCTACCAGGCATTTTTCATGATTCAGAATTCTCTTCCTTTGGCAGGTTCCTACTACCCTATTTAAGAGTAAATGTAAATGAGGCCTGATCAGGAACCTCTCCTTAACTCTTGAAAGTACTGTGGAGTCTACTGCTAAAGAAATAGCTCCCCAACAACAGTCCTTAGACTTTCTTTCTGAAGTTGCTCTTAATAATAGGATAGCCTTTGTTTATCTTTTAGCTGGACAAGGAGCTATCTGTTGTGTGGCCAATACCACCTGCTGCACCTAAATTAACACTTCTGGGGAATTTGAAACTCATTTACATACAAACACTGAGCAAGCCAGTTGGCTGAAAGGGTGACTTCTTCATCCAGTCCTTTCTTTGACTTACTTGATTTTCACCGGTTTAGTCTTGGGGATCGTGGCTCTGAGGTACACTCCAGACATGGGGAATTATGCTACTAATAATGGTCATGGTAGTCTATCATGTCATAGTCTTTCAAAACTCTGAAATGCATGTTTGTAGCCATTAACCACTAAGTAAGTGGAGATAAGACTGGAATGCCAGAAAATGAATGAAGTGACCAACTGAAAAATTATGAGCCTGAAGTCATGACCTGTTGGATACCACAGAGGTTCAGCCAAAAAAAAAAAATCATCATGACCTGTGAATACCACACAGAGGACCAATAAAAGCTGCAAGAACTATGGAGCAGTAGCCAAAAGTAGCTGTAATGCCTTACATATTTTTTGGTCACATTCCTTGCAGATACAAGGTATTAGGTGGTTAAAATTCACTGAGTTTGACTTGTGTTATGTATGGAAGGCAAGGAGGGGCTCTCTGGCTTGGGTGAGTGGGAAGATAAAAGTAACGACCTAGCAGGTCTGGAGGGAGAGACTCAATGAGTTCATTCATTGACATATGGAATTTAAAGTAGTGAGATGATTGGATAGTGATGTCTAGGAGGCAACTAGAAATGTAGACCTTGAGAGAAAAGCTCAGAGCTAGGAAGACTTTCAGATGACCTGTGACGTTATACCAGTAGATAGAGAAACCAGAGACTGAATTAAGTTACCAAGGGAGAGTAGAAAGAGGGTCCAAAGACCCTCAAGGGTGAATCCTTGGGACTTATATTGGGGAAAAGG